TTTACTCTTGGGTGGAGGTTCACCTCTCAACTATTGAACAGTAACTCACGACGACCTCTACAAGTTCAAAAGGACTCTGGTTTGTACGAACCACTGATGAAGCTACTGCTGCTGATCTGACTTCACAGGCAACAACCTACACATTCCACATAGACTCCAGACACAACACCAGCACCGTGGCCAAGCATGGGTGTTCTGATATATGCATAAATCTTATATCACTAGAACAACAGAAACTCCATAGTCTTCACTCTCTCTCTTCTTTGACAAGAAGCTGAGACATCGTTCTGCACCTTACTCATGTTTGACGTTTATGCCAGTCAACATTTGCTAAATACTCATATTCAGTACAGTCCTTAGCAAATGGTGAGTGGCATATGTTGGCAAAATTGATAAACAGGTCAAAATTATAAACGTCATTGATGAAATTTCTCCTGTGTATAGTAAGGGAGTTCTCCTGTGGACGACTACAACATGGTTGTCATGGTGATGTGTCTAAACTCGCCTCCAGCGCCAAGGCACATGTGATTGTCCTGTAACACCGGAAGCAGGGGAAGCCTTCTCGATTGGAAAGACAAAGTAGTTTGGCAATTTTTTTCAATCTGTAGAAAACAAAAACAAAACATATATATTTTTAATGTCAAGAATTCATCACCAGATAAGATGAACAACTATGGCCAGGTTCGAGGAGTTGTTTCCAGTTAAAAATGTAATTTTTAGAGTAAAATTGATATTTTATATTTATCCTGACTCATGCTCTTTTTGCTTGTCTTCTTCTTCTTGCGAACATAGTGGAACACTTGTATCTCCCTAATTGAAGCTCCCTTCAATGTAAAATCACTAATTAGCACTCACCACGAGTTACCTCCCTTCCACAAGCGCGTGAACGAGGGCGCCACCTCCACCCATGTGCCTCACTCTCTCCTCATATACTGAGCCCAACATTTGAATTTACAGGGAAATCCAAAGTGTTATGTGGGGAGGATGGGAGGGCTTACCTCATGAGTCAGGATAAGTATAAAATATCAATTTTACTCTAAAAATTACATATTTTTCCTTATCCTGACTCATGCTCTTTTTGCTTGTAGAATCCTACGGAAAAGGAGGTGGGAATATATAATACTTTGGATTTTAATAATTAGTGATTTGAACTGTGATGATTGTAATAACCCTATGGGAACTTCATAAAGGCACTGAACTGATGAATTCCTGCTGCTAACTTATCAGCTGCCTATAAAGGTTATTATTACAATGTACTTATTATGATAAAGTATATATAACATTAATACAATGCTTAAGACTAATAGACTTAAGCTTGTTAATATGCTAGTATAAACTCCTTAGAGTTTGTTAGCTAAAATACTTTAAGATATAAACATAGTACTAAGCTTAAGATATGATTAAACTTAAGCTAATTATATAATAGCAAAACTCTTTAGAGTTTGTTAGCTAATATACTTATATGATATAGACATAGTGCTGAGCTGAAGGTATGAATAAGCTTTAGCTACATATATAATAGCAAAACTCTGTAGAGTTTGTTAGCTAATATATTTTTACAATATGAGTATAGTACTGTGCTTAAGATATAATTAACTTAAGCTACATATACAATAGCCAAAAACTCTGTAGAGTTTATTAGCTAATAGATTTATAATGTAACCATAGTACTAAGCTTAAGATATGATTAGACTTAAGCTAAATGTATATAGCAAAAAAACTCCTTAGAGTTTATTAACTAATATACTTTTATGTTATAAACATAGTACTGAGCTTAAGATATGATTAAACTTAAGCTATATATATAATAGCAAAACTCCGTAAAGTTTGTTAGCTAATACATTTTATAATGTAACCATACTGCTTAAGATATGATGAAACTTAAGCTAATTATATAATAGCAAAACCCTTGAGAGTTTGTTAGCTAAAATACTTATATGATATAAACCTAGTATTGAGCTTAAGATATGAAGGAAACCTTAAGCTAAAAATATAATAGCAAAAAACCTTTTAGAGTTTTGTTAGCTAATATACTTATATGATATAAACATAGTATTGAGCTTAAGATATGAAGGAAACCTTAAGCTACATATATAATAGCAAAAACTCTGTAGAGTTTGTTAGCTAATACATGTTATAATGTAACCATAAAGCTTAAAATATGATGAAACTTAAGCCAAATATATAATAGCAAAAACTCTTTTAGAGTTTGTTAGCTAATATACCTATATGATATAAACATAGTACTGCGCTTAAGATATGAATAAGCTTAGGTTACATATATAATAGCAAAACTCCGTAGAGTTTGTTAGCTAATACATGTTATAATGTAACCATAATGCTTAAGATATGATGAAACTTAAGCCAAATAGCAAAAAACTCTTTAGAGTTTGTTAGCTAATATACTTATATGATATAAACATAGTACTGAGCTTAAGATATGAATAAGCTTAAGCTACCTATATAATAGCAGCAAAACTCCGTAGAGTTTGTTAGCTAATATATTTTTACAATATGAGTATAGTAATATGCTTAAGATATAATTAACTTAAGCTATGTATATAATAGCCAAAAACTCTGTAGAGTTTGTTAGCTAATGCATTTATAATGTAACCATAGTACTACGCTTAAGATATGATTAACTTAAGGTAAATATATAATAACAAACTCTGTAGAGTTGTTAACTTATATATTGTATGATGTAATAATCATAGTACTGTGATGATAAAAAGAATTTAAGCAAATTATATATAGCATGTAGCTATTTAGTACTGTTATAAGATAAGTAGAAATCTGTAAGATTGACTTATCTTCTCCGAGGAACTGTCAACTGTTGTGCGAGGACCATGGGACCGAATTGGTGGATACCTGAGACGTCCTCGGTGGTGATATCTCTCAGATAATGGTTGGCAACCACCATATCGGATCTCCAGAAATAAACCCTCCATTATTTCAAATAACATTTGTGTAGATCAATTGTGGAAGTTAGCGCTCTAATATCATGAGTATTAGAAGCTCATGGAGGGTCGGATCGGGTCCTGTAGTCTTGTAGTCACGTAGTATGACAGTTCTGATCTGTGGTCTGAGTCTGCATCTAAGGATGAAGCCGAGGAGAGGTGATGATCTATCCCGCCTTCACGAAGGCCTTCGCGAAGGCTGTACATCTGGGTCCTTCGTCGAGGTGGTCTGCGACTTCCTTCGCGAAGGTGGCTTCGTCGTGGCTGCTACGCTGACGGGGGGTGCCTCTGGGGTGTTGTCTGCGTTGGAACCTTCGCGAAGGCTCAGGCCCTGGGCTGGCTGCTTCTCCAGTCTGTAGTGGCCCTCCATCATGATCATGATTTGCCGCAACAGTTCATCTGGGATGGTCTGCGACGAAGTAGTCGGTGCCCTCTCTGCGATGTTAGCGGCGGGGCCCTCAGGGAAGTCGTCTGACATCAGTGTAGAGACATCAGGCTGCATGGCGATCTCTGCTGATGTCACTGTAGCTGTCACCGGTCGCTTCTTGTGGCGTACGTCGGGGATGATAATCGGCTGATCATCGTAGAGGCCCAGTTCAGCGGCTGGAACAATCTCGGTTGAGAAAGTCCTAGTAGACTTCGTTGATTTCCCCTCAGAGGTCAACGCTGCCCTGGGGGTGCGAAGTCTGCGTTGAGTGTTGGTAGCGACGGGACCCTCAGGAAGATCATCGAATATCAGCGTTGGTACAGCAGGCTGCATGTTGATCTGCGCTGACATCACTGTTGCCGACATCGGTCATTCTTTTGATGTACATCAGGTATGATGATCGGCTAATCTGCGACGGGAACAATCTCGGCTGAGAAAGTTCTAGTAGAGATCGTTGATTTCCCCTCAGAGGTCGACGCTGCCCTGGGGGTGCAAAGTCTGCGTTGAGATGCAGTAGAAGCCCTCTAGTCTTCGGCTACGACGATGGGATGTCTGGGGAAGCAGGACGCTTCTTGGAGGCGGCGGACTACGTCCCACGCCTCTCCACCACTCTAGCGGAACACCAGACGGGAGGGGGGTTGACCAACAGCAGCAGACTGGCGAGGGGTTCAGGTGTATCAGTCATGGCTAGACTCTGCATACGCGACCTATCTGCTGTGCGTCTCAAACACAAAGTAATTAGTTATTAAAGGCAGAATTGGATAAATTAGTACCGCAACTGCAACGTGAATAAAATGAACATGGCGCAGTACAGCTAGGGCATATTAAATGCGGATCAGCAGCAGAATAAAAAACGTAATCTGCAACAGTACAGAATTTTCATCAACGTAATCCACTGAACAAACATGGCGTCCCGTGAATAAACAGTAGAAACACGACTAAATATCAATATATAATTGTTGAAGGATACTAGCTAAACCTCTATAGATGTCTATACGAGGTAACTAACTAAATATAATCAAAGGATATAGTGTGTCGGGAGACACAGGCGCTCTCACGTCCAGCTCACTGGGCGAAGAAGGAGAGAGTGAGGCACATGGGTGAGGTGGCGCCCTCGTTCCCGCGCTTGTGGAAGGGAGGTAACTCGTGGTGAGTGCTAATTAGTGATTTTACATTGAAGGGAGCTTCAATTAGGGAGATACAAGTGTTCCACTATGTTCGCAAGAAGAAGAAGACAAGCAAAAAGAGCATGAGTCAGGATAAGGAAAAATAAGGATTTTATTCTATCCGATGGGCATCAACAAATCAATGTTTCAGGTTGCAAGTCCTTGCAGTTTCATTCACAAGATTTTAAAACATTACTCGCCATTGTTAACAATGGTATCATATTTAGTTACTTTTCCCGCAAGTAATTATTATAATTTAAAATAAAATATCACAAATATTATTCCTGCACATTGAAGTAAAAGGACAGCGACTGTATCATACGTATGATGGGTTAATTTTTACTCAGCATCCAAGCAGAAATAGCTTGAAACTCAGATACTATTAATACTTTTGAAAGCAAAGACAATAAGAATGCTACAAACGTGATCAAAGTGTCTTTTTTCTTACACTGATAGAAAGGAACTGGTACTTCCTGCTGAGATAGGTTGTCAAGAGTCGTCTCCCCTTTCCTGTAGTTCCTTCAACCTCATGGCCAGCGTGTCCCCAAAAGTGTTCCCGATACTCTGGGCTCACCGTGTCTAGTAGCTGATAGATTGTCTCATAGTACCGTGCAGACTCATCTTCCAGGACACTGTCAAAAGATTTTCCCACAATCTGAAATGCAAACAATATTGCATGTCACCATGGTTACAACAAATTAATGTACATAGTGACAGACATTGATATCTCAACACTGAATTAATAAATAGACAATAAAATTACCAGGGTAGTCTTGTAACTTCAAAATCTTGATATTTCAGATGAAAAGAATTTGACAAGCACAATAAACTGATGTAGTGTTGCTATGACTTGGGATAAATACAGAAACATTTTCTTTTTCAGTTCCTCTTCATATTGAGCTGCTGGACAACATTTAAAGCATGTCAAGAAAAGAAATACTGTGGCTTTTTTTTTACACAAATGGCCACAGCAAAGACAATTTTGGTAGGATTGGTAGGAAAACCAATAAATAAATTCATGAACCATTCTACCACTGACCCTACATGTTTTCCCTGTTCGAGAAAACACTCATCATTAACAACCCTGGGCTCACTCACTGTAGTATTTCATAACCTAATCCCTGTAATCATGGTAATACCCACGTGTGAAGAATAGATGCAATTTAAATGTGTAACAGTCAAAATAGCAAAAAAATACATTGATGAAATGGACACATTCTTGAGCTATTTTTCTCCATTTCAAAACAAATACCTTTACAAGTACTTTGGTCATCAAAATCATCTTGCACATTATCTGATAGCATAAACCAGTTTAATATAAGTTTTACTGACAGCAGCAACTTCTGTTTTAGAGCTCATTTCACTAATGATCAATGTTAATTGAAATCCTTTGCAACTAAACAGAGCATATTCCTTCGGAACAATTAAATAAATAATGGGTAATATATATTTACATTGGACACTTACATTTGACTTTTCATATGTGGTCATTTGTAGTTTTCATTTGTACTTTTGAACACTTAAACCTTTTTATGTGTGAATGAATTTTAATACATGGACATTTTGTCCTGTTTTTTTTTATCAATCGATTACCACATACTAATGTAGCTATTTCGGATGGAACGAGTTCCTTACGTACCCCCCGCCTATTTTTGTGATGAGCAAACATATAGTTTAGTCTATATAGCCCAGCGGATAAGTGATCAAATTGTGCACTTTGTGCTACAAGCATGAAATTTGGCATGATTGTAGCTTATACCTTTCTTATTAAATAAAGATCGAGAGGCCTCGCAGATTTTGTATATTTTTTATATTTTGGGGGGAAAAAGTGAAAAATGATAATTTTTTCTACTATTTTAATCATAACTTTTTCTAATATTCTCAAATTCTCAAACATCATATATCAAATTGTAGACAATTCATAGCTGATTATTTTCCATATATACATGTCGTGTCTATCTTTAATGGTTAGGTCTATGGAAGTTAATTTATATCATGACAACCCGAAAAAGGGAAAAATGACGGACATTTTTCAAAATGGCCACCATATCGACTACAACAGTAAAATAAGTATGAGATCATCCCATGATCTAACATTTTTTTATTATTTCTTTGAAAATTCAAAACGAAAAGCCTCGCAGATTTGGGCCATTTTTCATTTTTGGGTAAAATAGGGGGATAAAAAAATGAATTTTCAGAAAAATCTTATCTCAAATCAATTTTAAATCCTAATAAATTATGTATCAAGAATATTGCGAGAACAGATGAAAGTTTATTTGAAGGGATATTTCAGAAGATTTACATTTATCATCCAAAACTGTGTTCCACAGGAGATGACCGCCTCCGTGGTGTAGTGGTTAGAGCGTCCGCCCGAAGAGCGGAAGGTCGCGGGTTCGATCCCCGACAGCGTCATACCAAAAAGCGTTAAAATATGGTACTTGTTGGTCCCTGCCAGGCTTTCGGCATTAATGGGTACAACAAGGACTGGTTGGCTCGAGTCAGTATAATGTGTCTGAGTGGGGTATTCATGCTTCACTGCGGCATGGCATCTCAGTGGGCTAGCACTATAAAACTAGCTTCAGTCTGGGCTAGTACAAGCAGCCGCACATACACATACACACGCATGCATGTCGTCATAGGAGCGAAACATTCTCAAGGACAACGTTAAACCCAATTTCACCTCACGTCACCTCCACAGGAGATATCGCTTGTGTGAGATCATATGATATCTCCTAGGAGATATCGTTTTGACAGTACAATGCTCTGATTTAGTACAATGCTCTGACAATGCTATGTCGTCATGAACTGATGACATCACAATGCTATGACATCGCTGCACTGCAAGTCTAACGGTAGTACAGTGTTGAGAGATTTAGTTTTCATTGAAAAGTTATGAAGGATGATTTTTTTATGATAAATAGAGTCTCACCCTTGTGTCTACTGATTTCAATTATATCAACACTCGTTGATAAAGGTAAAAATAAAATTTTTACCTTTATCAAATCGTGTTGATATGATTGATATCAGTAGACACTTGAGTGAGATTCTCTATGTATAATGTATGAGTTTGGTTGCCTATAGATCACCTATAAAAAAAATCAAATTCAACGCAAACATGTTTGATTTCAACATCAATGTCAACGTAGCTATATTCAACAATCTGTGGCAGGTTACTCAATTATGTCTTGAGTGGAATTGTATCTAGCTTGACTGAATTAGAAAATCATTTAGTCTCTTCCACATTCGCACAGTGTAGTGCACTTTAGAGCTGCTTTTACATACTTGGACCAGTTTGAACATTTTTTACACATTATTTATTATTATAAGCATATTATAGGATATTTGTATAGCAAAAAGTTCTTTCTTGTTGGCATCACACCTCATAAAACTTGTCAGTTCTGAGACATACATGAATTGGCTTCCACTCGTCGTCCTTTTGCACTTCCTCTTTTTGTTCTTGCACTGGATTTTACGTTGCGTGTTGATATTTGTCCCAAACAACATACATTCTCTGATTGGAGTTCAGAGGTGTATGCAAGTATTTCAAGAACACACTATAAAATATCCATATTTGAGCTGCGGGTTTTAGCATGTTTATTACTGCGACTCCATCAAGGATTGATACGTCAACATCTGGTTTTGAGTCAGTTTGTGGTGAAATGTCTTCAGAGCAATTGAGAAGAACTGATTTTGTGCATGGACGTAGAGAACCTTGATGAGATATAGATGGTACGCAAGAGTGATATTCATGTCGGAAAAAGTCATTCAGGTTTCCATCCCTTGACTCGTCTGTATATATCTTGTCTTTATGGAAGAAAGTTTACATTCATACTGTTGACACAAATGTGGTTGTGTTGGCCATAGCTGCAACAGGAGCTCTCGACCCCTACCAATGTTTCACAGCTTCACAGGAAGTGGCAGTGTGTCATCCTTTGGTAGAATTCGAATGCAGACCTCGTGGAATGGATTGAATGCGTTTACTGAAATTACAGGCACCTCTATTTCCCTCGCTCGTCCACCACTTGAAATCACTAATGCACAGATTCATCAGCTTGAGAGATTTGTTGTGCTGCTGACAGAGCAAGCAACCACGTGAAAGTGATTGAAGCAAGGAAGCATTTGTTCCCCATGAAGGGGAGAACATTGAAGAATATACCCCCAACAGAATCAGCTTTGATCCAACATATAGAGAGCTGTATATCCGGGGGCATATGTTTGGGGGCAATCCCTGATGAAATCACTGGAGTAACCAAGCCCTCTGGATAGGGGCTGGCAATAACTTTCTCAGGGAGAGCTTGTACCTCTATTTTCGAGTCTTCTGAAGGCATGAAAGAGCTGCCAGGATTGCTGAAATGCATTGTGGGCGAGCAGGGGGCATGGTGGGCGAGCTGTCTTAGGCACCAGGCTAGTGATCCAGCAAGCTTGCCGGGATCGAGCCCACCTGTAACCAGCTGTAAAAACCTAGGAGTAAACTTTCTGTGCAGGCTCTTTAAGTGTTGTCACAACCCTAGTGTACAGTACACAACCCGGTGCACTTAAAAGAACCCATGAATCTGTTGGTAAATGACAAGATGGCGGCCACATGAATACGTGCAAATACCTAATTGCGGGTACAGCAACGTGCAGTAAGCCTGTACAAGGTGCTGTGACTATGTGTCCCAGTCCACCAAGCTGTGAATGGGTCCCTCGTAAGGATGGGAAAGCCGAATAACTTGCAGTGCGCCGAAAGTGGCTGCAAGAGTTGTATGTTGCCTCGAGAGTTGAGATTGGTAATACAATGTGCCGTTGAGATTGACATCCAATGATCAAGGGGAAAAACCAAAGCTTTGAGCATGTATCAGTTTCTTGGATAATACGCTATATAAATATCCTATAATATAATAATAATAATGATAAATACTGTGTAAAAAATGTTCAAACCGGTCCAAATGCGTAAAAGCAGCTCTAAAGTGCACTGCACTGTGCAAATGTGGAGGAGACGATTTTCTAATTCAGTCAAGCTAGATACAATTCCACTCAAGACATAAATGAGTAACCTGCCACAGAATGTTGAAATAGCTACTTTGGCATTGATGTTGAAATCAAACATGTTTGCATTGATTTTGATATGGTTTTTATAAGTGATCCATAGGCAACCAACCTCATACATTATACATGTAAGTAAATCTTCTGATATACTCATGCCAATAATGGTTGTCACCACCTTCAACTGTTTCAATTGGAGAAGGGTGTGGGCTGGGTGTGTGTGTGAGGAGTGTGTGGGATTGGGGTGGGGAGAGGGGTGACAACCATTATTGGCATGAGTATATATTCCTTCAAACACTTTCATCTGTTCTCGCAATATTCTTAATACATAATTTATTAGGATTTGGAAATCTATGACTGACTTAAGGTAAAATATGTTGAAAAATTCCACCACCACCCCCCACCCCCATTCGCCCCCAAAAATGTAAAGTGGCCAAAATCCACGAGGCTTTTCGTTTTGAATTTTCAAAGAAATAATAAAAAAATGTTAGATCATGGGATGATCTCATTCTTATTTTACTGTTGTAGTCGATATGGTGGCCATTTTGAAAAATGTCCGTCAATTTTCCCTTTTTCTGGTTGTCATGATATAAATTAACTTCCATAGACCTAACCATTAAAGATAGACAAGACATGTATATATGGAAAATAATCAGCTATGAATTGTCTACAATTTGATATATGATGTTTGAGAATTTGAGAATTTTTAAAAAAGTTATGATTAAAATAGTAGAAAAAATTATCATTTTTCACTTTTTTCCCCCCAAATATAAAAAATATACAAAATCTGCGAGGCCTCTCGATATTTATTTAATAAGAATGGTATAAGCTACAATCATGCCAGATTTCATGCTTGTAACACAAAGTGCACAATTCAGTGAAAAAACTGCACTTATCCGCTGGGCTAATAGACTATAGTTTATAGTTAAAAATTAGGTGGGGGGTACGTAAGTTTTCATCATTACTGAGTGATTAGAATGACTGTCGTGATTTATGACTGGATTGACTAAATAGAGGATGCAGTGCACATTGTAACTGCGAAAGGTCCGAGTTATCTCCCTTGCACATGTTGCCGTGTTCATAACACACGAAGTTACAGGTTACTGTTGGACAAATCATGTACGTCTCTAAACTGTTTCCAACATCACCATGTGTTCCATAACATGACGTCCACACATGTTCGTCTTCTCTTGGCCATGTAAAGCTTAAATAGGAAGACAAATTAACTCTATATATACAGTGCCAAAACTTTCATACACACCCGGAAACCGCTGATTGAAAGTTCTACACAATACGGTACATCTTCCTTAGTCCTGAGATTCAGGTAGACCAGTTCTGCGGTTGACGGGAGAGTCTTGGACATTTCAACAGACTTGACAGCAAATGCTACTTCTCTCACGGCCTCCTGGGCCTCGATCTTTAAAACATGATCTTCGTTACACACGGGAGAGTCCGCCATCCTGCCTTCACAGCAATCGGAGACTATCGGTGTTTTCCGGCGTCATTCTATTTATGTGATAATATTTGGCGGCCCAAACGAAGGGTGCGATTGCAAGAACAAGCTCCTTCCAGCGATAGTACGTTGGCGGAGGTCTTTATTACTGCCCTCAGTTACACGAGCTATCGACAGCCAACACATGGAGTTGAACTAGCCATTTTCTATACAAACAAGGGCTTATTCAGAATACTCTTTCCATTGGGTACCAGTCGAACTGCCCCAGCTACAAAATGCCCCAGCAAATTTGGTCAAATTGCCCTGGAGTTTTGGTCAAATTGCCCCGTGGGGTGTGGTGGGTTGGGTGGGTGGGGTGGGGTTTTGTAGTCAAAATGCCCCATTTTATTTAGAATGATTAAATATATGCAACAAATGCATAGTTTTTGTCAACTTTGATATTATATTCTCCACATAAAAGGAATATTCCTGAATAGAAAACACTGAAACACCATTTGCATTATTTGAGTGAGTTATGTACTGCTCATGTATGACTGAGTGATCTGCCTCAAGATAAAAATATGATTCTTAACTGTGTTTTAAATGAATTTTTTAAACGACTGTTGATTGTTCCTATTTACACGTTAATCAAAAAACATTTGAATAAAGTTTACTTCAGGAATAAAAACTCATTGTCATTACCACAGCATTCAGTTATTACGGCATTAGAATATTTTATTTTATTTATCAGGATGTTTTCATTGCATGGTTAAAATCATATAGAAATGGCTTAGATTTGTTTTGTTCAACATTTGGTGATCAGTTTGAAAGAAAATATGTTATCCGTCTCTATCGACTGGTGGTGTCTGTTATCCGTCTCTATCGACTGGTGGTGTCTGTTATACATCCCTACATGTTTTAAAGATCGAGGTCGTGAGAGAAGTAGCATTTGCTGTCAAGTCTGTTGAAATGTCCAAGACTCTCCCGTCAACCGCAGAACTGGTCTACCTGAATCTCAGGACTAAGGAAGATGTACCGTATTGTGTAGAACTTTCAGTCAGCGGTTTCCGGGTGTGTATGAAAGTTTTGGCACTGTATATAGAGTAAATTTGTCTTCCTATTTAAGCTTTACATGGCCAAGAGAAGACGAACATGTGTGGACGTCATGTTATGGAACACATGGTGATGTTGGAAACAGTTTAGAGACGTACATGATTTGTCCAACAGTAACCTGTAACTTCTTGTGTGGGCGCCTAATATCCATCCCTCTATCGACTGGTGGGCGTTTGTTATCCATCTTTCTATCGACTGGTGGGCGTTTGTTATCCGTCTCTCTATCGACTGGTGGGCATCTGTTATCCATCTCTCTATCGATTGGTCTGCGCCTGTTATCCATCCCTCTATCGACTGGTGGGCGTCTTTTATCCATCTCTCTATCGATTGGTGGGCGTCTGATATCTATCTCCCTATCGACTGGTGGATATCTGTTATCCATTCCGCTATCGACTGGTGGGCATCTGTTATCCATCTCTCTATCGATTGGTCGGCGCCTGTTATCCATCCCTCTATCGACTGGTGGGCGTTTGTTATCCATCTTTCTATCGACTGGTGGGCGTTTGTTATCCGTCTCTCTATCGACTGGTGGGCGTCTGTTATCCGTCTCTCTATCGACTGGTGGATGTCTGTTATCCGCTTCTCTATCGACTGGTGGGCGTCTGTTATCCGTCTCTCTATCGACTGGTGGGCGTCTGTTATCCGTCTCTCTATCGACTGGTGGATGTCTGTTATCCGTCTCTCTATCGACTGGTGGGCGTCTGTTATCCGTCTCTCTATCGACTGGTGGGCGTCTGTTATCCGTCTCTCTATCGACTGGTGGATGTCTGTTATCCGCTTCTCTATCGCCTGGTGGTCGTATGTGATCCGTCTCTATCGACTGGTGGGCGTCTGTTATCCGTCTCTCTATGGACTAGTGGGCGTCTGTTATCCATCTCTCTACCGACTGTCGGGCGCCTGTTATCCATCCTTTTATCGACTGGTGGGCGCCTGTAATCCGTCTCCCTATCGACTGGTGGGCGTTTGTTATCCGTCTCTATCGACTGGTGGACATCTGTTATCCGTCTCTATCGACTGGTGGGCGTCTCTTATCCGTCTCTCTATGGACTGGTGGGCGTCTGTTATCCGTCTCTCTATCGACTATCCGTCTCTATCGACTGGTGGGCGTCTGTTATCCGTCTCTCTATCGACTGGTGGGCGTCTGTTATCCGTCTCTCTATCGACTGGTGGGCGTCTGTTATCCGTCTCTCTATAGACTGGTGGGCGTCTGTTATCCATCTTTCTATCGACTGGTGGATGTCTGTTATTCGTCTCTCTATCGAATGGTGGTCGTATGTGATCCATCTCTCTATCGACTGGTGGGCGTCTGTTATCCATCTTTCTATCGACTGGTGGGCGTCTGTTATCCGTTTCTCTATCGACTGGTGGATGTCTGTTATCCGTCTCTCTATCGAATGGTGGTCGTATGTGATCCATCTCTCTATCGACTGGTGGGCGTCTGTTATCCGTCTCTCTATCGACTGGTGGGCGTCTGTTATCCGTCTTTCTATCGACTGGTGGATGTCTGTTTTCCGTTTGTCCATTCCTGTCTACAAGTGCAGCAGATATAGCGCCTTATGATATTTGTAACAACCGGGCAAAAGTAAGTTATCACCGACTTCACTTAAAAAAAGACTGATATGAGATTTATGATAATTATTTTACAAACAAATCATTTTCCATTAATTTGACTGAACATTCATTGTAATGCTGGTCTTGTATTTGCCGCAATTCATTAGGAAAGAGTCAATGGGTCAAAATTTAAAATTACACTAAACAGAGTTAATTAAAAAAGTGTATAAAGAGTCACATAATGAGACCGGAGTCACATCATCAATAGCGAGTGTGACCACCTTGGGCCCCAATACACGCCAACACACGTCTCCTCACTGACGTCGTCAGTCGGCGGAAGACGTCAGAAGGAATCCTGTTCCATAACTCCGAGAGAGTCTGTTCGAGTTCACGTCGGTTCGCCGGAGGTGGTACACGCTGTCTCAGCTGACGATCAAGATTATCCCAGAGATTTTCAATTGGGTTCACGCTGGCCAAGCCAATAGGTTGACGTTAATAGTGTGCAGATATTCTCGAACAATTCTGGCGATGTGACGCATTGCGTTGACTCCTCTTTCCTGTTGTCGAATAAAGGGCACCAAAATAGGTCTCAACTCTTCATCCCTGTACCTCTGGGCATTCAGAATTCCTCGGATGATAACCAGTCTTCTTGTTCTCGGACCACAATTGTCTCCTCCACCATCGAACAAAGGTCCTTCTTGAACGCAGTTTGGCGCTAGTCGCTCTCCTCTACGTCGAAAAACTCGAACTCTGCCATCGTTTCAGGACAGACTGAACCGACTTAATCTGTAAAAACACTGTCTCCCAGTCACCGACGTACAGTTCGTGCCCACTGCAGTCTACATGGACGGTGTGGACGGGTCAAGGTCATTCCACGAAAGGGGCGGTAGGCTCGTATACCACCTACACCAGGTGGTAGAAGAACTGTTCGTCTGCTGGTGGTATTTCCTAGTGCTGTCGATGCCGTTGACGTCTCCGTCCGGAGGTAGATCTGCCGAATGTAGCGGTCTTTGGTCGGCGTTGTGTCTCTTGGTCCTAGGTCTGACGTGTTTGCTGGTAGCGGTTTATCAATTTTGCTGATAGTGGCCTGGCTGCAGTTAAAGGTTCTTGATAGCTAAAGTTGTAAAGCCCCCTTGCTGACCAGACCGATCGCCCTGTCTCGTTGCGCTAAGTCTTGACTTTTTAGGTAGGTTTTTGTTACTGCATGCTCGTTCTGTCCAACATCCGTATTTATGCCACAATCATGCACGTGCATTTGGACCAATGTCCCACAATTACGTTTTCACGTTTTGAAAAATGCACGAATTTTCGAACAGCTGCGTTGTTATTGCGACCATGTTGCGTTTTGGCGAATGCTTTATGCTGGATTCAAACCTGTACCAGCGTTTTTGTTTTGTTTTGTTTTGTACAATTATCTTAAAAGTGATAACTTTCTTTTGCCCGGTAGTGTATTTCATATTGAACAGCACGCCCACAGGACAGATGGGAGTTTATGCCAATCGCCAGCCTTGTGAATACACGTGTACTATACTTCCTGGGTTTTGGTCATGAAGCAAGGATTACGACTGATCGTATGTGGGTTTCTGTAACCATCTTACAGAGGAGTATAATCAATAGCATGATAAACTGACGTGTAGTTAAGTCAACAGCTGGATGACAGCGTGTGTTTGCAGCTGAGTGTAGCAACACCTGTATGTCCTACTGAGACAACACACGCGAAAGTTGATCTACTGTTCTTGTTGGTATGTCAAGACCAGCAAACTCCGATAAAATATGATGGATAGCAGATTGATATTATTAATGCATGGAAATATGGCAATAAGAACTTATAAACATTAAAGAAGGCGTGTACAAGCTGTGTACTGTAAGAGCAGCGGTAAAGATAATTTAGACTGAGCTTTCGGATATACATGTACATATATTTACGTTTTGAACCAAATATACATGGACAAATCCTGAACATGAATAAATGGACATGTCCTCATGAAAAGCATAAAAAGATGGGAACATTGCTAAAAACTCAAAGACAGAAACAGTATTGACAATAGTGCGAGAAAAAAATGCTAGGAATAAGTTCTGAAAGAAATTGTTACACCTGTCAAGACTCGCAATTAATATTCTAGAATTTGTTTAGTGTTTAAAATTAGAAAGTGTCAGAAAATCTCATCAAACTAATCATAGTAATCTGTGTCATGCCCTATCTCGGTATCACTTCTCTTGCTGGAAATAAAACGTCCATTAGAAAACATATATATTTCGCATAATTCCCTCCGAGCTCCACACAGCTTGCTAATGATGCTGGAGTTACTGGATCGCAGTGGTGTAGATGGTTTCCTCTCGGAGTTTCAGCAGCACAAATGACGCCGATGATATTGG